CTTCAGATATTCATGACTGGTGATAGCTTTAGAAGTCAGCAGGTGTCAGGTTCGAGATACGTCTTTTGACAAGGAGTAAATCATCAGAGAGTTCTTCATTTTTCAATCATATCTTGTCCCATGTAGTCTGATGAAAAAAAAAATAGTAATCTAATTCAACAGTGAGTATCTTAATCAAAGAGGAAAGGCTGACAGAGTGGATCTATGAACTGTGATGCTGACGAACCAAATAAGGCCAGAACATAATAAGAAATGAATAGAAAAATGGATAAAATGATTTATAAAATGGAATTGTGAAAAACTAAAGGTTTAGAGGGGAAAGCAGGGGCAGGGCAGGAATAAAAAGTAACTTCAGTGGAAACAAAAGACAAACAGGTCATAAATAAATGTCTGTCATTCAAGGAAATTAAATGAACAAGCAGATGGCAAAAAAAGAAGGAGGAATGAAAAGAGAATGAGTAATTAAAACTGAATCATCTTTTTCACAATTTTTCAGTTAATCATGCCCACATTAATTTTGATAGTGATTTAATTCGTTGAATAGAATATTAATTTAGGTATTAAGTTGTGTTTTTAATTTTATTATTTCAGTATCTACATAGTTATTAAGCTCAGCTTGTACTGTGTCTTTATTAAAGATTGTCTTTGCACACTTGGTTTAGTATCTGTTACAATAGCAATCTGCATAAATAATTACCCTACAGTGTTTGAACTGTGCACATGCATTAAGGTGTGAGCTGTATGGGACTGTGTGTGTGTGTGTGTGTGTGTGTGTGTGTGTGTGTGTGTGTGTGTGTGTGTGTGTGTGCAGTGGCCCTTCCTTGTGTGAGCATATCACATATGCGAGATCGTTGATGTGCAATTCAGATGACTAATTTGCCAGCTGGCTTCTCCTGACCCTGAGTCAATTCACCAATGATGATTGACATTTAACACCCATGTGACTGCATGTTTGGTCACTTCACAGCTTGATGAGTTGCCGTTGCCCACACTAGAATGACCATGATTGGCGTATGTGCATGAACACATGTACTGTGTCTTGTTATGACATTCATTTGCTACAAAAAAGATGCTCAATACTTAATATTCTGCCTTTTAAGGTTACCCATTACCTTTTTTTGAAAAAGAAAGACAGGGGATACATTCATCCAGCAGAGGGGAAGGTCGATGGTTGAAGTTGTGGTAGTGTGGTCGTAGTTTTAATACACGATTGTTGCTCTTTTTTTTCTTTCAGCTCTGTTGTTCTTCATTAATTCAGGACTGACGCCTTGCAGCGAGGAAATGACTGACTAATATGTACATCCTGGGGAACAGATTGGCATTTAGATGGACCCATTTATCCGAGCCCCCACCTTTTTATGGTACCTAATTAGTGGAGAAAATGGAGGAACATTCAGCAAACCGCACATTATGATGTGTTTTTGTTCCACATATAGTGGTTCACATTTTATTTACACATAGTGGTTAAATTGGTAAACTTTTATTTGAGAGGTTGATAATCCTCAACATACAGATAGTGTCTTAATATCTCTTATACTTTAGCCAACTTAAAAAGTCATTCATGCAATTGGACAAATATCATATGGATTGAGGCAACAGGTTACAAGGAAAGGTGATAAATTTTAAGTGACAAGTATGACATGCATAATCCACTCTATACTGCTGCGAGGCAAAGCAGGCCACTGCCGTGTGTTTCCGTGTATGTGAGTTGGGGTCTTGAATAGCCTACTTTTTTCTTTTTTTCTGTTTTTGTACATGGCAAACCATGGAGGCATTAAAAGTTTCAATCAATTAGGCACAGTGAGCAGCCCTCCAACTTTTTTTTTTTTTTAATTGAGACGATTTGAATGCAAGAGAGGAAGCCCTGAAGAGACAGTTGTGGTGGGATTCAATCTTAAGCCAATTAGGGCACACACAGAGTAGACTTAACCACTTGTACTGTCTAGGTTGAAGTTTGAAGGCGATGCTGACAAAATATTCAGCCCTCAAGTTTCACTAAGTGTCAAGCGCCAACTGTTGAGTAGCAGTTTGTCACGTCAACCTTTCACAGGCTCCTATCTGGGATTCCAGTTTGTGTTGTGGCGACAAAAGTTGGAATGCAACTAATTAATGCCACTTGGTGAAAGTTTTCCCTTGCACCCCGTCATACTGCATGTGTGACATGCCTCTGTGCGAGGCCTGGGCGATTGGGCAAAAAAAATGATCATGATATATTTTGTCATAATTTTTTAAACTGCCAGTTTTAAAAGTATCTGTTCCAAAAACTAAAAAAAATAGAGATTAGTTCAACATTTTATTAACATACAAAGTTTACAACAAAGCAAATTGAATAAAATACACTAACAAATATAAAAAAAACTATTTTAACTCAACAGTACAACAAATGTAGATAAATACTAAATAATACAGTGAATTAGTTTACAGTCCTGAGTGTTTTTGCAGGTATGCAAGACCCAAAATAAACAAATCGCCCCCTCAGAGATAATGAACATGCTTTAAAATGTAAACATTAGATGATGTAAATCTAGATGATAAGATTGATTGCTGCTTTGGTCTGGTGGCTGCACTGCTAATGCTACTTGTGCCGTCAGCAGTGGCAGGCTGAGCAGACTCCACTTGCATTTTCATGCTTTCTGCATGATCACTCTTCAACATCTTCAAATGATTAAACAGATTTGTTGTGTTGTCGGTTTTTGAGGGCACCGACCGCGGACATACCTTGCACATCTTAGTTGCTCGACATCACTTTGGAGATAACTGAACAAACGCCACACAACCAGGTTGAATAACTTAACAATAACATCTTCTGAGAATGACTCAAAGTCACGTCTGACATCTATTTTGCTGCCTCAGCTCTGAGTTTTGCTGTACGTTTGGTCATTCTGTTTACTTCCCCTGTTTACTTATTTCGCAACTTACAGAAGTGAGCAGGAAAAGCTCGACTCTGATTGGCTGTTGTGACGCACATTTCTGCTATGTTTGATCGAGTAAATATGCTCTCAGCTGATCACAGTGATCAAACTGAAATTTATCACGATCATTAATCACGATCATATATTCGCCCAGTCCTACTCTCTGCAACCACTAACTTTTCTGACTGACGCAGTGGTTCATTAACAGTTGAAACAGCTAATCTTGGCTTTCTAATGGTAATGCATTTGTTTCAGTTCCTCTGCAGACACATTTGTTGACATGGGATACAGTGGAATCCCAAGCACTTGATAATTCTCCAAAATGAAAAAATGTGGCATCCAAAATTAGCTAAACTGACACTAGCAGAACGTAAGCACCCTGTGCTAGCAGGCAGAAACAGATTACTCTTGATTTACCTCAATATGATGACAAAGTCCTTCTTCCCAATATGTCACAGTCTAGTGCTTTTAGCGTTGCTTATACCATTCATTTAACCACCTCCACCAAAAAATGTGTGGGACACAATATAGTTTTTCATCCACGGTTAGAAAAAGAAAAACTGGGAAGCAGTTCAGTGTCTCCAGCAATGTCAGAGAGATGAATAATTTGGTAATATAATCTGATAACAAGCCAAGACTGATGCATAGCTCACAGTTCAGTGTCAGTATCGCAATCTTGCCTCCAAATATAGCTGTGTGTGCCACTTTCTGTCAGTTTTGCACCAACCCCCCACAGCTCGAGACAGCTGGACTAGCAAGATTATAGTATTATGTGAGAACAAGTCTGTACCTCTGCTTTCCTATTGCCACCATGGTCATTGGTTCTTTCCTTAAATTTCAGACATATTACCATCCAACGCCAACTTTAGTTTTAGATATTGACCCGTCACTCCTTAGTTTCTGCGTACAAAAGTGAGAGGTGGTGGGATCGGGGCCTGCATGCTAATACAAACAGAATTCTGTTGCTGCTGCAATAATCAGTTCAAGCATAAATATTACAAGCATCTACACTGACCATAGACTGTGTATACTATGGACAACTTGGTTCCGCCTTCCGCCAGTATACAGATTTGAAGCCAAAAAGCTCTCGATATGTTTGTTTTTTTCTCCACTTCCTGAAACCAACATTGCACAGTAGCGTTGTACGCATTTGGTGGGAGAGTTGCAGAGAGACGCTGTGGTGATGTTCAGCTCAAACCGCTTACTCCTGGTTGAGCTACGCAATCTTTGTACGCCCATAGGCTGTATCAAGTGCAAGTCGTAGCAAACATGAACCCCCTAATAACTTTTAAAGATGTAGCTGTACAGAAAAAGAGGACTTGAGCACAAACCAGTCTTACAGTAACTATATGTCAACATCACAACCAGGGGGGAGAAAAATTTACATTCTGTGTAATAAATTGTCCACAGCTCCATAAGGATGGCTGGAGAAGGCGGGATCTATGACCTATACTGCAGCCCGTCACCAGAGGGTGCTGTTCTCGGGGTGGCTTCATCCAGCGAGGAGGCAGACTGCGTCCATTCTATATACAGTCTATGACACTGACTAAAGAAGCTCATACTACAGATTAAAAAAAAAAAAAAACTTATTACATTGAATCCACTGGTCCACAGTTTAATTCCTCTATGTGTCCCACTACAGCAGTGTGAAGGGTCAACATATATTAAACACCTGTTGCGAACAACAGTGCAGTTTGATCGATTCTCCTTCTCCCCTTGCACCATAAACAGAATATAAATCTGGCCATTTTCCTCCACTTCTTTTCATTTATTTCCTCTCTCACTCTCTCTTCTTCTCCCATCTGTTCATAAAGATCTAAATCTGTTTACATCCATCTATTCTCAAACCAGCCTTCCCTCTCCCTCTGTCTCCATCACTCACCAATCTGTCTGGGATCTGCATTTGTTTACACTCTCCTGTGTGCTCTGGAACAAAAAAATCTAGTATCTTTACTCTTCATGATGTATGCTTTTCATGTTTGCATGTAAAACAGAGAGAAAGGCCAAGCTGTGGTCAAACCTTGTTCATGCCTTGGGGACACAGACACTCAGTCACCCTCCCTTTGTCACTTGCGCACACAGTTGCAAATGTTCCGACATAGCGTGCAACACGCGCACACATACGCATGCAGACAGAACAACATCAGACTGCTTGTGGACAAGTGGCTGAATCTTCCTGACAGGCCTGTCTGGAAGGGAAATAAAGGAGACGGTGGGAGCAGAGATGGAGAGGGATGGAACGTGAGAGAGGAGGAGATGGGGTGGAGACATGATAAGAGTGAAAGATGGTGGAAAGAGGAGGAGGGAGAGGGGAAGGGAGAAGAGAAGGAGGGGAAAGAAGGAAGAGTCGCATTGTCACATGAGGGAAGGGGAGTTGCAGTTGGCAGACAGCAGCTGGAGGGTATGATCAACTCAGCTGACACATCGGTTTATATCAGCGCAGAGTGGTAGGACAGATGGAGGGAGGGTGGGACAGACAATGAAAGAAAAGGACATGAGGTTAGGAAACAGACAGATGTGGAATAAGAAGAGAGGAATATAATGGGACAGCAAGGTGGTGAGAGAAGTGAGGATACAGGAGGAGACTTACGGAAGCAGGGGGAGGCTGGAGAGAAGCGTGGTGATAAAACAAGCAGAAAAATGAATGGGGTTTGGTTTGAGAAAGAAAATTAGCTGTAAGAGGAAGTTTTAAAGGATGAATCACAGTCTTTATTTTTGTTGGATTAAATTGGTGATTTAGGAGAGGAACAACAAAAAAAAAATCTCTTGAGTCTTCTTGGAATAATTCAAGATTCCTAAATATTTATTGGCCACATGCCAACACAGTACATACAGTGAAATGATGCCCCCCAAGGCTATGCCAAAAAGGCAAGGCTCCAATGAAATGTTGCATACACTGTGATGCAATTATGCAAATGTAACAGGCAATGCAATGGATTCAGAGAGGGCAATGTGTTGCAGATATACAGAGGACAGAGTTCAGTATCCTTGTGGCTTTAGGGCAAAGAAGTCAAAGTTTTTGTAGCTCTGTCCATTCCTGATATTCATTTTTAGTTGTGAGGGTGGCAGTTGGCTGGTGTTTCTTGCCCTCTCTGACTTCTCTTCCCTCCACATTTCAGACTCAGACTTAGGGGAGAACAATATTAGCATAATCAATAGCACAAAAAAGTCCAAGTTGTCACAAACTGGTCCTTTCAGCTGAAACTAACTCTGGAAAAACATCCTGACAGAACGAAGTCCTCGACGTTTTCTGCAAACTCATCGCTTAACAGCCAAAATTACATTTTCAAAGCTGTTAGTCAAAGTGTCATAACAGCAGGAAAGGTTTAGGATGCATCACAACAGAAAAGATTACCATGCAAGGTTCTGTAGAAACGACTGGAAACTCAAATGGCGTTCACAAACAGTCAGAGAAGAAGCTTGAACATTTGTCCCCAGGCGGAACAGCTCTAGCTTAAGTGCAAATACATCCAACTGTAGCCAACATCTCATTTTTCCTCTCCTTCTTTATGTTTCCCTCTTTCTCTTCTATTCCACTATCTATACATGTACATGCAATGAAAATCAGTCAATTTAAAGTTACTATTATGGTTTAAGCTTCTATAACCCAGATATAAAACTATCCCTTTTTCCTTCTTCTTTTCTGCTGCAGGTACTCAGCCTTAACCTCCACCAAGATAAGCACCTCCCCAAAGATAGAGCCTTCAACTCTCTTCTGTTGAGTGTTCAGCCAAGAGTTCATTGCACAAGTAGTTCATATGAAATTATTTTGCATCTCATTAATGTATGCAAAAATCTCCTGCAGTCTGATCCTTCAACTATGACCTTAAGTTAAATGCTTTCTCAAGAGCACATCTGCAGTCGTAATGAGGGTGAGACAAGTTTAGTTTGCTTCTGTGCACAGATTGATCCTGTGAGCTTGCAGATTCAAAAGCTGACCTTCCAATAATTAGCCGTCTTCTCTCACACGTAGACTGACTTTAACGTTCTTATAATGTTAAAAAATGCAGGGATATAGAAGTCTTTATCTTGAAAGGAAAATTGACTAGCATTACAAAGAAACCTACCGATATGCAGGCAAAAAAATACTCTTAATTCTTTTCATCTCAATGTAAAGTGGGAAAAGCTACCCAGAATGTTAAATGTATTTTCCATGCACATTTGTGAAAGCATCTACGTTCTTTGTTTTTCTATTCATTTTCCAGGTTTATTCTTCTCTACAACAGTCTCATAAACATGTCGGGCCACGTTATGCTTTTAGACAAGCTTTACTTACTACCTTTGAACTCATTCCTCAGCTCTCCACTGATTAAAAAGACATCCCATCATTTGGTCTTTAGAGGATTGTGGTAGTGGGAAATGTTTTTCCAAATTCTTCCCCATAGATGTTAAGCTTGGGCGAAGGTAAGTGTACTGCCAATCACATCATATGTCATCATTTCCACAAGCATTAAACCTTACAATCATCTTAAAGGCACTCTCATCTCAAAGGAGAAACCGGTATCTCCAGGGACCCTGATTGGCTGATATTCATAATTCACCAACTGGTTTAGGTTTAGTTGTTTCAAAAGGGCAAAAGTGAACCAGAAAATTAACATATACTTTATATCTCAGAGTGATAACATATATGCTAGAGAGGCTTTAATATGTAAATGGAGGTCTTTTTGGGACTATATTCTCCTGTCATCACTCTCAGGGATAAACTGATAATTGGATCGCAATAACTTGGTAGGGATGTTGAGACATAAGCAGAACAAGTAACTGTACTGTCTGTGAGCATACCAATTGACTATCTTTAAGTACTGTTAAGTTGCTTTCTAGCTAATTGTAGCTAAGAAGTGAATTCTTGGCCTACTAAATTAGGGTGACCATATTCTGACTTCCCAAAAAGAGGACACAACTTTGCAGGGGCGGAGTCATGAATTTGCCCAAAGTTAATTTTGAGAGTTTTTCGGGTCGGATCAAGCGTCTTTTGCGCGCTTCTAACTCAGTAAGTCCACATGACACAAAATCAAATCTCTCGTGCAAAACCGCAGACATTTGAAGGACTTTATAAACTTCCCCAGACAGAACCGGACAAGCCTGGACAGCCTGGAAAAAAGAGGACATGTCCGGGTGAAAGAGGACGTATGGTCACCCTAACTAAATATGAGCTAGGGAAAAAATTTCTTGCTCACTCAATAATTCCCAGTAAGTGAATTCCTGGCTAAGTTAAGTAAAATGTTGGCTAAGAATTGAAATATTTGCTGATACAGAGCTACACAAACAAATTATAATGTTTGCTTTCCAAGCTTAGTGTAATTTTTCATTGGCTTAGGATGCAGCAAACTGCTAGGTCTGGCTAGGTTGCCCTATCATATTTTAAAGCTGTTCATGTGAACTTTGGTGAACACTAGACTGATATGAAATTTGCCCAATTATCTAGAAAAAAAGTCAACTTTTAATCAAAATCAAAACTGGTTTGAGATACAGCAACATGCCATCCTGTCAAATCCATTTACTAATGCCGCACTTAATGTCTTCATGAGGCGCACCTCTGTGTGAAACTGTACTGCAAAGACATTGCGTGTGTTTGTGTCCATCCATTTTTGTGCTGCTTTTTCACAGATGAATTGTCACAGAACTATGCAGTGCTTTGGTGCTCCAAGCAAAGACACACACTCAAACACACACACACGCTATACACACGTGCATTGTCTCTCTCTTCTCTGACCTCTTTCTTTCTTCCCATGTGTCCTCCCTGTAACACTCACAAACACACGAACCAGACCAAAACACAGATGGTACTCGACAAGTTGAGGCAGCATCTGTGCTTGTACACGTCTGTGTGTTTACGAATGTTTAGTCAACAGAAAAAGTAGTTACCTGGAAGTAATTCAAGTTTTGTGACTTTGTGCCGTAGAAACAGACTTCAGACTTTTATTTCATTTGGTTGAGCTTCCACCTTCTGGCGTCGGAGTGCTTTGTGTTCTGTCTGGTCCTGGATAAACAAATCTATTGTTCACTTGGACCGAGCTGGCTAAGTGTTAAGAGCTATGTGGTCAGCGTTGTTGGAAATTGACCACCCATTGCATGCCAAACAAAGGTGACTTTGAAAAGTGTTAGGTGAATTTGTGGAAGCTACTGGTCGCTAGAGAGCAGAGCCAGGCAGATCTGGACGTATGCTGACCAAGAACACAGCCTCCCTCTCACGTCCATGATGATGTTTATGTTTACAACGAAGGCGAAAAACTAATGTAAACATTGCAAGTGTTTATCAGTTCTCATCTCCATTTCTCAAGTCTCGTTGCAGCCAATGCTTATGAGTCCAGTCCAAGTATGTGCTTAAAATCATGACCCAAGTTGGACTTGAGTACTAGAACAGTTTCTTGTGTCAAGCATAGCAGAGATTAATATCTCTAATATCTCTTACAGTCTTATCTGAGTGAAGGTGTGTCTTAACTGAAGACTTACTCATGTTCAGCCACAACAATTTTTAGATTAAAATACCTTTTAGTTCTGGTTACATTTTAGTCATTTATCATTTTAGTTGACAAAAACTCAAAACATTTGAGCTGTTACTTTAAGACAGAGCATGTTCTTCTCGAATCAAAGTCAGACACAAAACTGTAAGTGGTAATAGCTGAAGAAAAAACCCCACTATTTATCAAATATTAAATGGTAGCTGATTGTCCTTTGTCAGGGACGTGCATCAGTAAAAGTTTATGAATGAAGATGAGAAAGAAGCCTGGGGGCGGCTAAGATTTGTGAACCTGTTGCAGATAAGTAAGCAAGTTAACATTACACCCCTTAGCTAACTCACCCCGTCACAGGAATGTATCACTTCAGTTATGAGTGTTGGATTAGATGTGAAGTTTGGAAAATAAATGCCCAACGGTCCACCTCAAACATTTTCATCTTGTCATTGTCTCATTAACACAAACAAAACAAATATGATTAAGTTATTACAAGTTTGAGATAAAGCCATTATGATTGTTAATTGACTGTCTATATTAGTCTTAAATAGCATGGCAACAACTGAGACATTATAAAATTCAAACAAATGGTAATCTGGAAATATGAATCTTTATGATATAAACTTTGCATTAGCATGTTTGCAAAAAGCCATTCAAGTTATTGCAGATCTTTTTTTTTACCACTGGTGAAAATGTGAATTGTGTATTTTTCCACCCTTCTCACTTGTGTTGACTATGATCTTCATTTAAAAATCTGTTCATTTATTTAATTGCACTGCAAAGCTGAAATGAAGAAATTCTCATCATCAAAATACTGTCAGTGATTTCAGTTTTAATTCATATCAAAGCCTAAAGTTGGCCCCTTCGAGTAAGCACTACATAAGGCTGAGGCTAACGGTCAGAGTTCTGAAATTGTTGCATCAGATTAAAATAGTTGAAGCCGGGGGACCAAAAACAAAACCAAGATTTAATTGCAAGAGAAGCAGCATTTTAATA